CCCGGGCACACCTCGGGCACCCCGCTGGGCACCCCCTCGGCCCTGCTCCAGATCCCTGTTTCTCTGCTGCAGAGAATGCCCATTGCAGACTCTCCATCAGAGCCCCATCGCATCCCTCCGGCTTTCCTGCGGCAGACCCCTCTAGCTTTCTTCTGAACACCCGAGTACCTTCAGCGCAGACTTCTGGTCTCGTTTCAGCCCTCTCAGTCGCTTGCTGTAGAGCCCAGCTCCCCGACAGATCCCCTGGTTCCCTGTCGGGGCTGAGCCAGCAACCGGCTGGGCAGCTGGGGGTGGGAAGGGGGGACACCCCCCAGCCCAGCCCAGCCAGGTGCTGGTGGAGCTGAGGAGGAGCCGCTGCCAGGACAGAGCCCGTGGTGAAGCTCTTCACGGCTTCTCTGTGGCACTGAACCATAGCAGCTGCCCCAGTGAAGCAGAAAGATGTCCTTATCTATGCAAGGGGCAGTTAGGGCTTGGAGCAACAAGAGGAAAAAGAAGCTTCCAGTGAGAGGTTGACTCGACTCATCCGCCCCTGTGAGCTCCTCCAAAGACCTTTCCTGGGTCACTTTAGCAGCAGCCTCGTGGCATCCTCACTGAGCCTGGCACAGTGTGCTGGAGCTGCAGGAAGGGAAGGTGATGTGGAGCTTGGATGAGTTCATTACCTGCCACAACCAGGGCAGTGGTCTCTTCCCCACACCAGGTAGATGTCAGAGCTCTCCTGCCTGCTTTATTTCATAGGTGCAGTTGCTGCACAGCAGCTGTTGGGCTGGGATCTTTAGGAAGCTGGGGCTCCTCTTCTCTTCCAAAGTCCTGCACGTCAAATCTGTGCACAAATGTGGCTCAGAGGAGTAATCCTTGTCTCTCTCTCTCTCTCTTTTTCTGTCTCCTTCTCTCTCTTCTCCCCCAAGGAACTGGCCAAGTACTTTTTGGCAGAACTGCTCTCAGAGCCAAGCCAGACAGAAAATGAAGCCCTGGAGTCTGAGGACTTGTCCCGAGGGGCTGAGCAGGATGAAGTGAGACTGGAGCTGGAGCGCTCGGCTAACTCAAACCCTGCTCTGGCGCCCCGGGAACGCAAAGCGGGCTGCAAGAACTTCTTCTGGAAAACGTTCACATCCTGCTAGCTTTTGAAACCCACCTCTCCTTCCCATCCATCCCTGCCTTCTCACTAGCCCCCCGCCCCAAGCAGAAGCTTCACCACAAGAGGCGAAGACTGTAAATACACAATCCACAGTTATGGTGAAATTAAAAATTGAGGAAAATTTGAGTTCGATTTCCAGTTGTTTTAATAAAACTTTCTGTTCCAATTGTACACAATTTGCTTGAGTTGTGATTTATGACTAGTTCTTCAATGACATGCACTCTGCAACTCTTTCAGATGTACTATTTTTAATTCTTTGTTGCAATAAAGTTTATGTTTCAAACGGTGATGTTGAGACTTGGTGGTCAATGAGAAAACCTAAGTCACCTCCCAGGATGCTTGCCTTCAAAATTACACTTGTCTAGGCAGCAGCAAACAGCACCCACATGCACACATATGCACACACCGTGGTCTTTCTAAGGGCCCTAGAGACACACTGGTGTTTTAGATATCAAATCCTGATAATTGCAGCTGAGTCAAATCAGCAGCACTCACAGTTCAGTCAGTCTGGAGAACTTACACTCATCACCAGAGGCATGACTCTAAATCACAGCTGTGTACTCCACCTGATCAGGATCATGAGTGGATCACAGTGCAAATTTACCACACATGTGTCTCATTACCTCCTCAGCCACAAAAACTGAAAAGTTTTCTTACCTGGTGTGTTTTATTTTTTTCAACATCCCTGACAAGCACAGCTTCTGGCATTCCTTAGGGAAATTTTCCTTTGTTCTGCTGCTCAGGGGGTGGTTTCACATCTCTCTAAAGCTGAGATGTTAACCCCACACTACCAGCCCCTCTCTAATAAAACTGATTGCAGCAGTTTTTCTGTATTTAAAGACAATATTAAAAGGTTCAGCTGGGTAGGAGATGGCACTGGGAAGAAGACATGTACCTCTGAATGGAAGAGAAATTCTTCATGCTTTTCAACTTTCCTTTCTGGCTGTGTTGGTTTGTGACATGCAGTCCTGGGTGAGTTGGAGCTTGTGTCCTGCACAGGGGACAGGTGTCCCTTTGAAGAGAAATCATTCAGGATTAAAGGTAACAAACAATTTGTAGCTATCATATGTGAAGGAAAGGTGAAAATTGGGGGTTCTTAGAGATGTTCATGGGTGGAGGGTTGAGCATGACTCTGGTGGGTTCCCCAGCTGAGGGCATGTTAAGTCACCTTTAGTCTGTGCCAAGTGTAGTCATCTGTGGGGCAGGTTTCTTGATGGCTCATGAGCCATCACCTTTATTCTTGGTCTGTGCCTGAGGTTTGTTAGATTTGAGTTGGGAGCAGGTGAATCCCATGTCATTGGGAGCTGTAGCAATGTCAATGTGAAATCCCAGCTCTGCCCCTCTCACACAGCAAGGCTTGGCTGGGCTGCTCCACAGCCTGCTGGCATCAGGTGAGAGCAGCAGGGGCTGTGCACGGGGGGGGGGAGCTGCTGGAATCATCCTCCAGGAACCCCGAGGCAGAACTGGATGCTGCCTCTGCTGCAGGTAGGGCAAAGGGCTGCCTGCTCCCTGCCCAGCTTCTGCCAGGGAAGCTGGGTCCTGCCTTAGCTGAAGAAGCCTTAACCATGACATGATTCTCCATCTCCCGGGCTCCGGGGAGCCTCCTCTGCTCCCATGTAAGAGGGGCAGGTTTTGTGGTGTGACCTGTGAAAATGCAGAGTCCTCTGTCTCTGCTTCACCAGCTGCTGGGTGTGCTGCAGACTGAGCAGGGAATGGGGATTGGCCTGGCGTTTGGGGGGGGCAGGGGAATAGCCCTGGCATGCAGGGCACCCTTTTTCACCCTCTGGATTCCTGTAGAGGGTGCAAGGTTAGCTCACCCTTAGGAAAGGGGCAGGGCTGGCACTGCTGGGAGGGGGGAAGCCTCAAAGACGTTTGAGAAGTGCAGGTGGTGGAGATTGTTTCTCAGCCCTAAAAGCAGACGGAGTGAGAACAGGACCCTGCTTGAGGGTGCAGAGACAGACTGTCTGAGGAGAGAGCAACAGTTCTAGCTCACGTCTGATGCCTCTGCTGCTGTGCATTGTCAAGGGAGCAGATTTTTTAGGGGATTCAGTAAAGCAGAGACCTCCACATCCCTGGCTACTCACTCCTTCCTTGACTGAAGTTCCACGTAGCTTTCAGAAAGCAGCTAATTCTTCAGTGCTGAGACAGCCTCAAGACAGCAGCTACAGGAACAGAAAGGAGGCCAGGGGCTTGAATATTCTTATGCACCAAGTCCATCTTTCATGGGATATAAATAGACCACTACTCGCCTGAGGCTTTTCCTCTTGGCCACTGTGCTCAGCCAGTGTTTCTGAAGGGAGCTTAATCCTGCCAATTGCTGGAGTGAAATTCATCACAAATAGGGATGTGGATGATCCTCAAGCACAAGCAGGAATTAAAGACAGAGTGATTCACATGCTACACCAGCCTATTTCAGCAATACAGATGCTGTCACATCACGGCAGCTTCTATGAAGCTTAATGAAGATACAGTGGTGGAGGCAGGAGCAAATGTCCTCGGTTTGGAGGCAGAAAGACAAACCTGCTCCTTCTGACAGCTCAGGAGCTCCTGGAGTTAGGGGAGATGGCTCCCAGGGCATTAAATACAGTATCACTGTATGTGATTTTGCACTGCAGAAATCCCAGGTCCTGGGAGCCACACAAACACAATGCAAGAGACTGAGCTAAATAGACTCAAAAGGCAAAGGGAGATTTATTGTTTCTCTTCAATAGGCGGGAATTATGGTGTAAAGAGATTAAATGACTATATTTAATCCTTAGCCAGACAGCCACGCAACAGTGTCCTGGGCTGGGAAGACTCTTGCTCTGCAAGGCTGAATCTGGGCTAAGAGCACAGGCACAGTCAGTTCCCACAGGCTAGAGCTGTGGATGGGGAGAGCAGTTTGTGTGAGGTGTTCTCTGCAGCTCAGAGCAGAGGCTCCTAAGAGGGAGGGGGCTGCAATAATCCACACAGAGCTGATTCATCTTCCCTCTTGCGCTCAGTGTCATGGGCAGACCCAGAGCAATCCCCATTCCAGCAGGTACCTTCAACCCAGTGATTCACCTGAGGCACTGCAGGGAAATGTCTGTGAGGAACCACACAAAAGGGTTTGAAACTGCTGTCTGAAGAGTTGCTTTTAATGAAAATTAGAAAATGTTGCATAAGGCTTGGAAACACACATCCCCTGATGGAAAGTCAGTGATGAGCTTCTCAGCCATCCCAAGCAGCTAACTCTCCCACTAATTATGCCGGGGGGGTCATTCACTCTAGCAAGCAGGCCAGGATTTTCTTTATATGCAGCCCAAATTGGTAAAAAAGGCAAGTCTTCCTTGGTCCAGAAAGCTGGCAGGTGACAGATAGCTTGAAGTGATCCTAGCTGTGGTACAGAGGAGATACTTATGGGATCCACATTTCATAGCCTGGGTCCATTCTGGCACCAGTTAATGCCTTTAGACTCCACAGAAAAGACCAAGAGCCTAGACCCATGGGCACAACTACCCTTTACCCAGAACAGCCTGTAAGATGCTCTGCTCTGCTTTTGCCTTTACTCTGCCTTTGTGTCTCCTAGCAAACATCACACGATCACTCAGATCTGCAGCCCCTGAGAGCATCTCAGATGCCCAGACCTCTGCTCTCATCACAGGAATCTTCTTCCCTATCCATCCTGCCCTGCTCTCAGCAGCTCTGGAAAGCACCAGAGCAACCCCCAGCCCCTGTATAGCTCAGCTCCAGGTGCTCAGGAAGAAGCACTCACTGCTGCAATCGAGTCCTAATTCTCTGAAAGCAAAGCAGCAGGGTGTTTATTGACCAGGGTGAGGAAAGATATACCTAGGCAATAAAAGTTATTATGATAAAGGAACAGACTGTACTCTCTGCTCTCTGAACACCTCCTGACTCTTTGACAGCCTCCCACCAGAATAATGCAATAAAACTCACTTACACTGGGCATTTTTCTTCTCCTTTATCTTTGTTTTATTAGGGAATTGTTACTTTTTGTCAACATCTAATTGCACTTTTAAGAATAGCTGTCTGGCCAGATGCCATGAGTACCTCAGAAGATTTTTTTGGATCCCAGCCCATAAACAACTAGTAAAACAGAAAAAAAGAATATTAATCAAGAAAAGTGAGTTCATTGTTTCTCATATGTGTAATAGAAATGCCAGTTTTTGCCATTAACTAATATTTCCAACATCATCTGACAAAGAAACCCATCTGATAGTTTCACTAATGAAATTAATGTAATTAAGGTCCCCAGCATTTCCTATGGAGAGTTTCCCTGAGAAAGCATAAAATTATGGAAGTCCAGACTTTGTTCATCACCTGGGTTGGCTGCTGGACCAGAGGAAGAGGGACTTGGTCCTTCTCACGAGGCCTGAGCATCCCTCCATGGTACATAGGGAGAAATCAGTCCTGGCTTCCAGCCCTGGCAAAGCATTCCCAGGAGGTGAGCTAAGAGCTGCTCCCAGACCCTCCTTTGCTGGTCCCTCAATGCTTGTTAGGAGATTCCCCCTGGCCCAAAGCAGAAGTCAGCAAATGCCTCCTGGCCCAGCAGCAAGCTGGGTGCTGCTGTGCTCAGAGGCAGAGCATTTGCTCCCTTCCACAGCTCTGTGTTCTGCCTTCAAGGAAAATCTCTCATTCTCCTCAAGACTGAGGTTTAAGGAAGAAAAAGGATCCCCCTGGAAATTGGCTGTCACATTTGCAAGGCTCTTTTATAAATCTTCGCTGCCTCCACTTTTCTTCCCAATTTTACTTTTTGTACTTATCATAGTTTGTGAGTCTTCCCAGCAGCTCAAATACAATATTTCTTTCCCTGCCTCCCTGCTCCCCCCTCCAGCCTGTTGCCCCAAGGATGGGATGTGGGGTGACATTGCTGAGCACAATCTCGGGAATGGGGTGCACTGCAGCCAGCAGAGAGAGCCAAAGAGCACAGATTGTCCTAGTGATGGTCTGTCTGTGTGTGTAAGAGCAGATGTTTCGAATAGGTGTCCTCTGTCTGAGGACTGTCTGAGCTCTGGCTACAGCCTCATTGCAGGCAGATGGGCTGGAGAGATGGGTCCTACAGGAAGCAGCTTTCCAAGGAGCAGAATATTCCAGGGCCAGAGCTGTGCAAGGATGCAGGTGGTAGAAATCTTCCCCTCTTCTTGCAGATCTATGTGAAGCGAAGCCTGGTCTAGACAGAACAGGACACCAGAGAGAATCTTCCTTCTCCACTCTTTGAGATGTACCCTGAAGCAGAAGCATCTCCCTTTAGATCAATGGGGATCTCAGAGAGGACCATAAATGGTTCCTGCCACCTGCCATTACTCTGCA